GTATTTTTTCCTGCTTTTGTTTTATAAAAGAAATAAGGCACAAAGTGCATTTCATCCCTGCAAGGTTATCTTTCACATGCCTCAAAGGTATGGACATCCCTAAACTACAAAATGAAACAAGGCTTTAATTGGGTCACCCAATACTTTTGTACTGTAGATGAATTTAAGGGCATACATGAAAGAAACACCTTTCAAAACAATGCTCGCTCTCTCTTCAGGCAATGGAGACTGCTGCAGTAATAGCTCAGATACTTCCCTCCCATCCCTGTACTGATTCAAACACACTGCAGCACAAAGCAGCAGATGCAGAAAACATAACCACCTAGCTGTCTAGGTTGAAAAACCTGTGTTAGCCTAACAATAGTAGACATTTCATGCCAATACCTTCGCCTTCAACAACAATCCAAAAAAGCGGTGAACAAGACAGGGCTTGGTAAAGCAACATATTTCACTGTCAGGACCCAGGAGAATGAATATTGCATAAGACATTACATCTGAGAATCCAAGTGCTTATAAAGATTAATCCTCACAAGACCCATGTGAGATAGCCTTCCCATGCCCCAATATAGTCACGTATAAAATGGGGTAAACATCCATTTCTTGGTCGCAAAACAAATCAATGGCAGCCTAGAACAGAACCTAGCCTGGCTTCTGGTATTTTTCCATTAAAAAAAGACAGGCATCTCAACACTGCTCTTTTATGAGCAATACCAAATACAGTCAAAATTCATTAATAAACAGTCTGTATTCAATTATTTAAACTGTGTAATAACATGACCATTAATTCAAAAAACAAAAAACAGATTTACCATGGGAGACAATGAGTGGGAACTGGGAAAAGAGACTTGGAAGAGCAAAACTGTATCCTCCCCCCTCCCAGAAAAGCCTCTAAACCTTTGCCCAGGCCAGATGCCTCACAACAGCAAATTTAAATTTTGTCAAAGGAATCCAGAAGAAATAGATTTTTTTTTTTTTTCCAAGAACAAATGGAAGGGCTCACCGAGCTGGCACACTGTGAACTTCTGAACGCTCCGTCTGGCCTTCAAATACCGCTCAGCAGGGGAATCGAAGAGACTATTTAGCAGTCATAGGGAGGGGGAGGAAAAGATACTCCTGTAATGCACCATTTTAGTTCTTTCAGAGCAAAACTATGGCAAGTCCTGCTACTGTTTAAAATCACTTTATCTTACATGGGTTTTTTGAGTCTGGCAACTTTACCTAAGCTGTTTGCCTTCTGGAAAGGCTGAATGTAAACCTGTGTACTCCATATCAAGGCCTGTTGAGACAGAACAAAGAGATGCCAGAGCATTATATCTGCGTTTTGCCAGTCTTTTGCAACTGCTTTAAAAGGGTAAGGCACCCCGAGAGATGTACCCTCCCAGTCTGAATGCACCTGACAAATCCTGACCTAACAGGAAGATCAAAGGAAAGAGTCATCTGCGGTATCATGGAAATTAAATTTTCTCCTTTTCAGTCCGAGCATTATTCAGCCACACCATGGAGAGGCTAAAATAGGACTCTTTTGGAAAGGAAATTACTTCAAAACGTTCACTTGACAATGTTTTTCCAGTCTAAACTAGTACCATGTACTTCACCCTGGAAAGCCCGACCACTATCATTTCAAATACCTGCAAAGTTGTTTCGTTTTGTTAGGTGATTTCTGGTACTTTTAATTACTAGAGAAAATCACTGACAGATTGTGGCAATATTGTGGCAGAAGCAGAACAGGAGGCAAAAAAAGGGACACTTAATGAATTCTGACGTTCATGGTTAAAGCTGAAGTTGTTTTGACATGGATACAGAAAAGGGTCTCCTATTCTCTTCCCCTACCCCGGACATCAACACAGAGTACAATCTGTTTGGATGCCTTACCTGTGCATTCCCCTGCTTTCAACATTTTTAAGTTTAATCTTAATTCTAAATTTCTATTTAAAATACTAGTTGCAACAGTCTGGTAGTACTGATTTTTAAAAAGCCTTAAATTATAGATATGTTAACTAGACCTTAACTTTAAGAAAATCACTGGGAAAATAACCTGTTCTTCATTTACAGATCAGGATGGAATGGAAAATTCTGACAAAGAGGAATATGGAGGGGGTGCATCACATTCTTTTTCTACTGGAACATTTTCATCAGCTGAGATAAGAAACTTGATTAGATAAGATGACACCCTAAATGAACGAATGGAAGAAGCCTTGAGCTTTTAAGCTGAGATACTCGTAGGGCTTATTTATACCAGAAAATCCTGCCACTTCAACTGCGGTATGATGCAGAGAAACCTCCCCCCAGCACAGGTGCAATCATATCAGTACCCATTTTTAACTTGGTCCAGTTAGGGAACCAAAATGAAGTACGATGCAAGAGACTTCATACTGTTGTCGGTACAGCCACATTAGGGCTTCTACCACAGCAACAGCAACCAGCTGCAACATTCAAACAAATGAGGGAAGAAGCAGGATGAAGCAGCAGACATCGCTGGAGGGGATGGAAGGGGCAGGGGAGGATTCTGAACAGGCAGCACTAAAACAGCTTTTGGTAGGCATTAATTGCACTCCTGCCCCTGAAAACCAGACAGCTGAAAAATAAGTTATACAAAGAGCAGGGGAGACGAGTTTTTCAGTGCTTTTCTCCATCTTCCTCAGCACCAGTGCTCCTCTTGAGGGCCTGCTCTCCTGTCTATGGCAGAAGAGGCTGTGGCACAGACAGTACACAACAGACTGGGAAGGGGGCAGGCAGCGGAGCGGCAGACCAGGCAGGAAGCAGAAAATGGCTGGGAGCAGAAAGCAGAGCAGTGGATTGGGCAGAGAGCACAGAGCTAGAGCAAAAAATCCGAGCAGGCAAGGGAGCACACGGCAGAAAGCAAAGCAGCCATGTGAACAAGGAACGCATGGGAAAAAGCACAACACAGAGCAGCAGAGAAGCACAGGGAAGTTAGCAAAAAGCAGAGCAGATCAGGCAGGGAGCAAAAAACCCCCCAAAACAGGCCACGGAGAGGCCAAGGAACACAAAGCAAGAAGCAGAAGGCAGAGCAGCATATCAGGCAGAGAGTACAAGGCAGGGAGCAGAAAGCCGACTAGCACACCGGACAGGGAGCACCAGGTGGAGCAGATCGCCGAACAATAGAGCGGGCACGGAATA